TATCATACCGGCTCAGTGGAAGGAGGCCATAGTGATGCCCCGTCATAAATCAGGTTCACTGTACGACGTAAAAAACTACCGACCGATTAGTCACACATCAGTATTCTCTAAAATGATGGAGCGACATGTAAATTCGAAAACGCTTGAATTCCTATTAACTCGAAACTTAGTAAACAATTCACAGCATGGATTCCTGAACTCCAGGTCCTGCATCACTTGTCACTTAGAATTTTTAAATCACCTTGTCAGTTCACACGATCGTGGCTTATCGGCAATCGTCATCTATCTCGACATGCAAAAAGCTTTCGATCGCGTACCTCATAGTCGCCTACTAGCTAAACTCCAAACCTACGGTATAAAGGACCCCTTACTGGCTTGGTTTAGCTCATATCTCTCAGATCGCTCCCAGATAGTACAAATCCAACAACATAAATCTCAACCCAAGGCTGTTACTAGTGGGGTGGTACAAGGCAGTGTTCTTGGTCCATTGCTATTTCTACTTTACGTTAACGACGTCTTCAACGTAGTTAAATGCGGCACACCTTATCTTTTCGCCGATGACATCAAAGTAGTGTACTCCTTCCATCCTACCAACCTCAGCAATACTCTAATGGAAATCCAACTGGACCTCCATGCGCTTGAGGCTTGGTGCAACACATGGAAAATGTCTTTCAACACTGACAAATGTAGCGCGATGTTATACAGGTGCAATGTCAAGCACAATGCTCTGACCCTAAATAGCAAACCACTTACTATCTGTCAGACCATCTGTGACCTAGGGCTTCGCTACTCATATTCCCTTAACTTCTCAGAACAAGCATTTTATGCAACAGCCAGAGCTAAACAACGCATTGCATTACTATTCAAAAATCTTACTCTACGAGATTCAATTTGTTCAATGTATGAATCATTCGCCCGCCCTTTACTTGAATATTGCTCAACGGTGTATAGCAATTCCAGGAAGCATGATCGTATCGCCATAGAAAAGGTACAAAGAGCGTTTACAAAGCGCCTTATTGGTACGAGCTTAGTGTTACCCTATTCTGAGCGATGCGACTTACTTAAGCTTGACCCAATATGGCTTCGACGCCTAAAAGTAAACTTAGCACTTTTATCAATATCCTGCACAAAAATGTCCACACCCCCAGCAGTGATCTATCACTCATGAAACCAAATGGATACAATACACGCAATAGAGAAACTTCTGTGATGGTAAGAAGGTTAAAGACAAACATATCAGCAAACTTTTTCCTAAATCGGTACTCCCGTATTTAGAACAAATTGCCGACCGATATTCGTACTAGCACATCTGAGTATAACTTTCGTAGAAAGCTTGACGAATATCTTACAGTCAGCAATGTGATTATACTCCTGCGCTGCCCTACAACTATTCAACAAACGTATGAACAAGGTCCAGACAACACATAACTGAAAGTTGCAAATGACTGTATCAGTCAGATCAACAAACACCGTTGATTCCCTGCTTACCCTTCTCTTTTATTGCCCACTCCGGATCTGCCTGCCCGAAAGCTCACCGCTGATTAGTGGCTCCACTGATACATCGATGGGTTGGAGGTCCAGGCTTCTGTTATCCTCTTCATCCCATCTTGGCTCACTATACTTCCCCTTGATTTTACTTGGCTCCACTGCAACCATGTGTCAGTTGAATCACTGGCAACTTGGTTAGCTGGACTCCCAAATCCGGTTAACTATCTCTCCAATCATAACTTCACTTCCGTTTCACCCGCTGGCACACCTACCATTCGTTTGTGAAAGCACTGACGCTTTGGTAGGTAAAGCACCCGGATCCCTTCTTTACATCTTCAACCCACCTTGCTCTCCAACACTTAGCTTCGGTTTTCACTTGACCATATCTTGCTGGTGAATCAACCGACACATTGTCAACATCGATATTTTTGCCACTCAGGACTACTGTAATCTCGTAAACATATCACTGGCGTTCTGTTGGACCAATTCCCTACAAAATCAAACTCCTGGCGCAGTTAGCCAAACTACTAAAGGTTCAGCATTCTTGTTCACAGCCCACAACCCACACATCTTAAGTAATCCGAAATCCGTATTGCGCCTCCTAATTGTAAACAACATCTGCAATACAATAATAAGGTAGTTGCTTAAATATTTCCCTTTCTCACTGCGCAGTAATGTGGACTTATTTTTCTCTGTTAGCCAGACCCATACTGCTGTTCCTTATACTGAGTCCAGAAATTTGGTTGCGAGACCCCACACTATATTATTCTCGATTCCACACATGTACATAATTCCCTAGGAAGTTTTCGGCCTCCATCGCACTAATACTTACTAATACTTGCTATTTCCCTTCTATTTACATTGATCCGGACCACAACTCGTTCAACGGTACGATGAGATACTTGCTAACGAAGAAAGTTGGATCTGCATAAGAATAAATTACAACTTGAATCCAATCCCACTCAATACGAATCTCCTCGCATCCGATAAACAATTTCAGTTTCAGAGAAAACTTGTACCTAATGATCGGTCCAGGGTCTCTGGAACGTGTCTCACCTTTCTGAGAAATATACTTATTATTATTATTATTATTATTATTACTATTTATGGCCCTATGCTTTCGACGCTTACCCACAGAAGGCACCAGATTACGGGTTACAAGCGCATACTTATTGGCACGAACCATCAGCGCCGCTCGTTGACTCGGACGATGATAACTGTGGACCTACTTATTGCAGAGTAAAGATGTTACTTGGCACTGTGATATTTGACACCTGCCTTCCGCGGCCGAACAGGAGTATGTCCTCTTGTCATGAATCTACAATCTCATTGAATCTATGTGCGCACTCTTCTGGAAATCTCACACAAGACTGCAGCGCGTTGGTGATTGTTTGACCAGCCATTCCATAGTCCGTTATCTAAGGTTATCTACCTTGCATCCCTGATGACGTTTTGCACATGCTTAGACGTATGCGCAGGGTCTGATGCAAGCAGTGGAAGAGATGAAGGCAAGTTTCTCGTGTCAAGTACAGTGAACATTCCGGTGTGCGGTTAGGCTTTGGGTCTCCATGGGATTTTTCACGATGGCATCAGAATAAGGGGCATATTTCAGGGCTTCATTCAATTCGTTGACAACCGAAGACGAACTATATCAGCCACGCACTTTCCTCATTCGGTGGATAGGAATACGTTTGTTTCGAATGGTAGTGATCTCGTGAACCTTCAAACAGGCCGCTTACCAGTGACTAAACAGCGCATTGGTAGTGCATGTTAAAGGCTCATGGGTTGAAGAACGCTAACGTCATCTGGGGCAGTTGAATGTTGCCCAGTAAGGTCTTAACAAGTGCACCGATCGCTGAAGATATCCAGGGGCTGAACATCTTCGACAACGAACTTGCCTACCTTCGTCCTTGCTCGGTGAAACCGATGTGCATTTTGCTGACATCATGTAGCTGATTACCAGAATGATACCACCTAGCACCTAACTGGAGCATTTAGTGAGTTCAAACAGTTTAAGCTAGGTAAACCATTTGGCTCACATACCTTTTGGTCATATACTTCGGCTGTATCTTTGACCATTACTGTACGTGATCGGGGAAAACTAACGGTAAGATGAAGACATGATCACAGTTCATGATTAAATTGACCAAAGGTATGTGTACTCTGCCTAGGGGAGGCATTTGAGATCTATCTTCGTGGTTGGAAACCAATTCAAGCATCACATAGACCCTTATTCCATTTCCTTTTCCCGGAAAACTGTCGGTCTAATGACTGTTTCCTTTCCTTTCTCTTCTTTCAGAGTCGCATGTAGATAGTCCTGCTCCTTCGTCTTGCACTTTTTTCCTCGTTGTAGTCATTATTTTCAGGGTAATCAATGTGACCAGCTCGGCGAGCACCCCATAGCTAAACGCCATAGTAGTTGGCTGCATAGTGCTTCCAAACCTGAGCCCCAGTTGACGGAAAAACGTCAGCAACGGACTTGCAAGTAATAAAGTTTTACTTTTAAAACTCGCTTCTGTGTTCGTGGTCAACTCAGGTTGGTTGTCCACATGGAAATACGCACTGAAATCTAGTGTGACAAGAACACCACTAAAAAAGGAACGCTCTGTTTCAGGGCCAGTCGATTCATTTTATACTACCGTGATCCAATCTGCCCGGTTTTCGTGGCAAATCCTAAGTAGCGTGTCATTCTGGCAAACACACTTGCACACTACAACTTCCTCACCAAATATTGAATTATCTTATCCTGTATCGGCCCAAAGTACAGTTACTATCTTTTTACCATAATTGTTTTGCGCGACCACATGTTCCGCTCGGTGAGTTACTGTGCCAATATTTGCTCCTGTTTGCTTCATCAATTCGCTTTTCGTTCTCACAAAAATACTCCGCTGTATCCAATCTCACGTAGCTTGTTCTACCGGTGATCGTGTAGGTGCTCCATTGATGACTTGCAATTTCTATTTCTACAAACCCCAATGTAATGCATCCAAAAGTTCTAAAAGTAGCCTCTCAACACTACACTAGCAAAATCACTCTTGGAGACGGGCTCAGCTTGTACTGAGGTATGTCTTCCATAAGCGCTGCTTTATTGTACTCATCAATTAATGTGAAATGTTTTATGTTATGGCGTGAATTTGATGACAAGAAATTTCCTATCACAATGAAACTGCTCTAATCCCCCTTTTATTACGGTGCTGTGGGTAATGACCATGGGGTCCGTAGCAGCGCTGCTATGGGTAAAAGATCGAAGCAACCAGTCTGTTGAGGATACAGTAAATCTTAATTTTCTGGATGTGTAACGCGATGTAAATCTCACTGGTGCTTGCGACCTTGTTGAGACAGACATTTTACAATCTAACCACCATCAAGCGGTATGTGTCGGTTAACCAGAGTATCGTGCGAAAATTCGTGTTCTTTCAGCATCATTGCATACGTTATCACTGACAAAAAATGCTAAAAAATTTGAGGCCCATGACTATCAACACATCATCTTTTGCAACGGGAGAACTTACTTTGCCTTCCGTGCGGCGTTGATTGACATCTTAATGTGTTCACCATCCGTCTTCGACTTCTTCTGCCGAAAGTCGTCCCGTGCACCATTTTTGCCTCCACTGAAACTCAACACCTTACCAAACCTTTTCATCGCGGACTCGAACTGCGATAAATCACCTTGTGTAGCCCAGTTTGCACCGCGGACTTTTACTGGCGGCCGAGCGGTCTATCCGCGGACCACTGAGCACATTAACCTTGCGAGGTGAATGGCATTGTCCTCCGCACACACATATTATGCGCACGAGTACACGTTAGAAGTGTACATAAAGTGTGATGTGGGTGCTCACTCTACTGAGGCGATTATTGACTGACTGAGTCACGTGTTCCACTCCTCATCGTCATTCATCCACACGCTGGGCAGCATCAGATGATTCAAAGCCGTTGCTTCCGAAGCAAATCGCTCGCCATGCGGCTGCATACCTAGCAAATCCGCGAACGAAAGGCACCCAATCTTTTTCGAATGCTGATTAAGTCACACAAGGAATAGTGAAGGAACTGGTGGAGGTTTCATTAAACCCACTCACCTGTTAGTGAGCAGCCAAAGAATGCTCAGGAATTTGCACTCAGGTAAGGTTTTTAACGGAAAATCACGTGGTTGGTTAACAGCCAAAACGACTCTATGCTAAGATGTATGTGGTTTTAGTCACAAGCTGTGTAAAAATTGACCACGTGGAACAGGCAACATCCGAAAGCTTAAAGCTGCTATTTACGGCGTTTAAGTGTTGCACAGCGGAATGCCCTCTCAGTAACCACACTGAAGCTTCGGTTACTGTTCTGGTGGGTTTAATTATTGCACCTCCAGTCTTAGTGAGTAGGGAGTATAGGGTGTCCGGGTGGAGGTCAACCAAAATTCGTATCCTCTCTGTGTAAGTTCGCCGTTCCTCTAAGTTTTATTCAATTAAATAGCTGTGCACAGCCTTGCATCGGATTGGCTGTTGTTGCATTAAGGATCAACTATCGTCTACGAGTTCGAAGGATACATGTATTTGCCACTCATGTCTCACATGTTTAACTAGGGCGTTGCTATTTGATGTCGTTAGGCAGTTTCTGCAGCGAGGTGATCGGTGCGTGTACTCCCTTACAAGACTCTCTGTGTGCTCAGCCAAAAAATGAAGTTTCACATCAGAAAAAAACATAGTTTTTATAACGCTGCATCAAAATTGATAATGTACATTAGGCTTGTGCTTTGTCGTCTCATAAGGCCTACGGTCTACCCTGTACTATCTATCTGTGAGGCAAAATTGTAGCCACACGGCTTAATTTCTGCAGGGACTCTGTTTTCTAAAATGATGGGGAACAATGTAATGGTCAAATGAAATTATTGAACCCGGTCCCGATACACAGATGACGGTGCGCGAAGTCGAACAGGCGCAATCAGTCCCCGTGAGAAGTGAATAAATCCATCAACCACATGATAACCCTCATCGCATCGCCACCGAAATCATGCACGAATGTGCTACGAAAACGCCACATTTTACCGGTGGCTGATGTGTCAGAATCCCCCACGAGCCTGACTTGGGGAACGAGCAACCTCTTCGGTGGTCATACGATCAGACAAACCACACCATCAATTTCACTGGTTGCTATTGACACTAGCAACCAATGCCATGTGGATCGTTTCAAATAGCGATGGTTTGTTCTGTAGCGATTCGAAGCACAGGTCGGAGAGTGCAGCATTCCGAGTAGAGGCTAAGTACAGCCATCGCGGTTGATCTTCACCGTCCGCGTATTCTATATTCATCTGCTAGTTGCCTGGGGGACACTATAGAAAAAAAGAAAAAGCTAACTCCGGGTCACACCTGCACACCTCTACATGTACTAGAATGTGCCTAGTCATTGCCTCATCGGCACTATGCGTTCTCGGTAACGATGACCATTCATCACAATGGCTAGGCCAGGGCACACAACCGCGCGTATCACAGCGCCATGTGGGCAATACCAGACTGCCAACCGTTTATACCCATTGTTTGTATGCTGGCCATGTTTCATTTGAAGTGAAACAGACCAAGTTCGTGTCACTGAGAGATAGAACTACTCACATTTTGCGTCAAGATATGGGTTTAGTGGACATCAATTTCCCTTGTTTAGACACAAAATAGTGGCTACTAAGATTGTCCTATTATTGGCTTGCGTTAACTGACTATTCAATAGCGACTTTGCTATCCCGGTCACATCCATGGGAATACTCTCTTGAATGGCGCCACATAACAATGAGTGAGACAATGGATCGGACAACGTTCAAGCGTACCTGCCCCATCAAACACGAGTACCAGTACTTATCTGTACCGTTTGGATGACGGAAGTCAAATTCCCATATTTTACATTGAAGGGGAAATAATGAATAATGAAATCTGATTGCACGCCATACCAGTGACATCACAATAGAGTATGTTTATAAAGGTGTGCCAGTCCGGCCATACGATACTATTCGAAAGACCTAAGTTTCTTATCAAAACTTCTTGTAGTAGTTCATTGCCAGGAGGCCTCGGCAACCGTTCTATAAATTAGTCGATCGCATGGTTGCCATCTGAAGCTGAGGAAAAAGAGTTTTGTTCAGCTATCACAAGAATCGCCACGGTTGAACATCACCTAGCTATCCCTTTGGTATCGTAAGATGGAAGTGGTCGGTAGTTTATTGCACATTCGTAATTATCCATTCGACAGAATCCAAGATTCGTGTGTTTACCAGGCCCACAAAAGTTTTGAACTTTGATTTACAGTACCTATCGTGTGATTGGATTGCGACAAGCAATCTCTAATAAAAACCGGTTCACTTTGAGGTAGACTTCGGTCATTCCGATAAAAAGAATCATGACCGAAATATACGTTTTTCGGTATTGCGTCTCCCAATACTGACACCCCATGGCCTCTTCGTCGGCCCTATCAGCTTAAACTAAGATCTATAAGAATGTACAGCAGTCGATATCGGCTGTTACGGAAGGATCTCATAATGATTTAGCAGATACTGAAGAACACAAACCACATTTGCTCTCCGCTGCTGGAATTGAACCACAACACTAATCTAAGAGGTCATGCTCTGCAACTGACAATTCAGTATAGTCGGCTTGAATGCCGTAGAAATTTCGTTTCCCTCTGCGTGCTTCCAATCTGGCGATTTTAAAAAACGAATTGGACAACGCGTTGTCCCAGTTGCATTTCATTTTATGAATTGTAAGCCAGGGGCAACAAATCGAAATCAAATAGTATCTCTCCAAACTTCCAACCAATGGAGTTATGGATTTATTCTATTAATACGCGAATATCCCCTCTATTCTAGCTAGGTCTGGTGAGTCCACCAAAACGCTTTTCATTTTATCATGCAATTTATTTTCACAATAATTTCCATCCACGGGACTTGTTAAGCATTGTTTTTACCAGTAATACATCATTCTTCCATTGTTCCATTGACCGACAGACTCGTCATCGCTTGGACTCGTCAGCTGGAGATCGCCTGAGATAACGTGGAACTCGGGGCCTCCATTTCGAATCTAGTCCTAGTGATCTGGATGACAGAGGTCTACTTCAAAGTGGACCAATGTCTCTGTAGAAATTGGGTGTCGTAATCCAACCACAAGGCCGGTACTCCAAATCCAACTTTGAATTCTGTACCATTGTGCCAAACGTTGCGCAGGGATCTCAGTGGCATCGTTATCAAAACCTCAGTTAGTAACCACTAGGTGGTGGGTTCTAGCCCAACCGAGGCTATATATATATAGACCTGATGAATCCAAAAAAGGACGAAAACGTCGATTTTTGGTGTCGGTGTTTGGAGGAGCAACATAAAATCATAAAGGTTTTCCCTATTTATAAGAGAGTAGTAGAGGAATTTGAATTTACTTCTTGTAAATGTATGGCCTTAACAATTAGGAGTGCAAGTACAAGTATTCAATCATAAGTGTAATTTTAAGTGGTAAAGAGAAGACCACGCTGAGTACATGCCTGTTTAGCACCGGGCATCATGTGTCACCCACTGCATCCGAACAGTGTGTGACATAAGGGGTCACTTAACATAGCACACTTACGATTCTTATCGGCTTGGCTTGTTGTGTCAGCGCGACTAGCGCGGACCTTACTAAACGGAACAGCAACCCATTCAATAGTTGTACGCAATTACACAGTTGTGGGAATACGTAATCAGAATGTATCAGCGACGTGTTGCAGACGTCCTTATGAAGCTCATTTTGAACCTAATTGTGATCGGAAGACCGATGACACCGACGAATCCAGGCGTCAGGAAGTTCCGAATTTGAGCCGTCCTCCTCCTTACTCACCTTTACGGACAGGTTAGACTTGTGAAGGTTCACAGCAATAGCCTCCGTGTGAACAAACAACCTGAACTTCCAATCTGGAGAACTCGCCAAGCCAATGATCTCATTTCACATGTCAAAAGGTAGCACAACATTAAAAGACGGAACTCCCTACCTTTACCTTTCTCAGAATAAAAGAAGGCTATAATTGGGTAGTTTGGAAAGCTAAGCGCGTTGTATTTCCTCACAAAATAGTTGGTGCGTGATGCTAAGGGTATTTTGGTGGGCATTGCCAACGGTCCCGTGTAAGATCAGGCCTTCGCATTGTGTAATGAATTATCAGGTCCAGTTAGTGATGCGGTTACAACGGTATAGCTGCTATTTCAGCCAACATTGAACTATGCTTTGAGTGACCTTTCACTTCCCATCTGCTGACACACATAGTCGATGGCCCAATGGGAACAATGCGTAGGCTGTGTGAGCGTTTGCCTGAGTAAGGTTTCATTCGTCCACTCTCTTGTCAGTTCGCATCCTTTCATTCATACCATGTTTTATTAAATCCGCAGTGATAGTGACAAACGCCGAAATTTCACCCATGAGGATGTGAGTAAATTATTTTAACTCTACCGTACTTGATGTGCGGGCATCATTAATTGGATCCTGTCACTGGCTTCGAAGTAACGCCATTGCTTCTCAATACAAATAATAAACATTAGTTCGTGACAAACTCAGTATATAAAATCTAAATAGAAATTTGATTATTCTCCAAACGTACTTGTCTATTGAAGGACTTGATTTCCTTGTCACCAAATGCTTCCCCCATGCTCACCCGGAATTTTACACGGGTGCTTTGAATATTTACATTATTGCACCATTATCATACCCTTGAATGCTCCAAGTCAAAATATTTCACTGACAAACTGCCGACTACTAACGTTTCCACAAGCTGCCGCAAGTCTTCCTGTGTCTGCCCTGCTTCATTGCGAATGCAAACCTATCTGTGAGTTGTTTATTGTCTTTAACTTGTTGTAGCACCAAGTTTACAGGAATTTCCACCTTATT